CGCAACCGGCGACCTGGTCTTCGCGGCCCGCCAATAATCAAGGGCCTTTCATAAGTGACTGGCTCCCTCCCCCCTCTCTGTATCAAGCTGTTTCCCAGCGCGGCTCGGCACGGCCCGGCACGGCCAGATCCCCCAGTAATGAATGTGCGATTCGGGCGTCCGATCGGGCCGCGCTAATCTCAGCCTCTCCATGTTTCCAGATCCCATTCCCTCCTTATCTCCGCCTTGCTGTTCCTGCCGCCGCTCCTTCCGGGAGTAGGAGGAAGGGGAGGGGGATTTTTCTCCCCCTCCGCAAGGCTTTGGCCTTCCCCTCCCACCCCTTGCAGAGCCACCCGCCGGACATTTCTGCTCCCCAGTGCCTTCTTTGCCGTGAATCTCTGGCAGACTGGAGGGGGGCGGCCGACCGCGGATCCGCGATCGGGAACCTCGTGCGCCGTCGTGTGAATAGAGCCGGTGTGGTGCCATTGCCATGTGGTGCCATGTGGTCCCTACACTCTAAATGTAGGGTGTCCAGAAACTGGGCGCCTTTGTCGCCTGCTCCACTTTTTAGGTGCCAAATGTCGCCCAGTTCTGGGCACCTTGTCCCAGTCTCGGTGGCAAACCATTAGAACCTGCCTTCACCCATGGCTCACAGCGACTAGGTGCCAAAGGTGCCCAGATGGGCACCTTAGTCGCCCAGGAACTAGACATCTGGCATGCTCTACCATGGGAGAGGGCCGGTTACTGATGATTGTCCACCCCGAGACTGGGCGACAAGGTGCCCAGAAACTGGGCGACATTTGGCACCCTAAAAAGTGGGGCAGGCGACAAAGGCGCCCAGTTTCTGGGCACCCCATATTTAGAGTGTAGGTGCATTCATGGCGCGCGATGGTTGTGCCCCCATAGGTACATTTATCGTGGAGACACCGGTAGCCAGGCCTCGGCGTCAATCAAGGGGACAGCACGACGACCCTCCCCTCCCCTCCCCTCCCCTCCCCTCTCCCGGAGTGCCTCGGCCAGCTCGGCCTCACGACGCACGCTGCATTATGGACGCCACGGCCTCGGACCCTTTGGAAGGACAAGGACTGACCCGCTCCCCTCGCTCCAAGCACGGCCTGCGCGCCGCGGCCACCTCCACGAGTGTGGTGGAGGCCGAGGCCCTGGGGGGTCGCACCGCGACTACGCCGCCGGCCTCCAGAACGAGGAAGTGGACCGGCGCTCCGCCAAAAATTTACACGAAATTTTCCCGAGGTAACAAATTTCTTCTGGTGTCGTTTTAAAGGAGAATGCACTGCCTGCTGCCCGGCCTTCACCTCCAGAAAGGCTCGGAGGGGGCAGGAAAGGGTGACAAGGGAGAACTCTCGTCCTCCAGACGGTCATGAGCGCGACGCCGTCGACGGCGGAGCCCTTGGCACAGCCCTGGCGCGGCCCTGCCCCCAATCAGTGCTGCAGGCTGAGGGCTCGCCGCCCATCCATCCATCTATCCATCCACCCAGCCAGCCATCCGTCACACAGGGCCTGGCCCTTCACCCGCTGTCGCCCTTTTTGCCTCGTTTCTAGTGCAGCAGCGGCCCGATTCCGAGGGCTCGCTCCGTCGCTCCGTCTCTCTCGCTCCGCTGCCTGCGCGACGCCCGGCGGGAAGCCCCCGCCGCGAGTGCGACAGAGACAGGGCGACGAGGCGAGTGTAAAATAAAGCGGACGTGTCCATTCACGCCCGCTGCACCGGACAGCGCAGCACAGCTCAAAGCGGAGGCCTGCCGGCGCGCTCAACGAGCTGTCCTCGTAATGGAAAAAAAGAAAAAATCGACAGAAAAAAAGAGAGGGGGCGGGTGTTGAACCCGGGACTTACCTCGGACGACGAGCTTAGCGGGCGGCGACGTGAGCGCGTCCCCGGTGGTGAACTCGGAGGCCGTCACCTGGCACTCCCAGAGGCCGTCGTCGAAGTTGAGGGTGGCGTTGCGGATCCAGATGCTGCAGTCGCCCTGCTCCTGGCTGCCGGCCCACTCGTACTTCTTGGGGTACATGCCGACGGGCTGCGGGACGGAGAGAGAGCGTGGTTAGAAAAGGAGAGGAAATCGAGGACCAAAGAGAGCGGAATCGTGTTTGAACCTCGGAACCGAAAATGGGATGCTCAGCGCGCCTCGTACTGCTGACTGATTCTGAGGACCGTTCCCGTCGCTGTCTCTCTCGCACTCACGGGGCGCTCCGCACCGGCGCGAGAGAGACAGAGCGACGGAAACGCCTCTCTGGCGGCACGGCGGCGGTGTGGCGCGAAACGCATCTGGCGAGCGGGTCGCTCGGCCGGAAACGGGGCGCCAAAAAAAGAAACGAAAACAACAAAAAAACACAATTTGGCTCGGCGTCGCGACGTCCGTTCATCATCCGCGAGTGGAAAACGCGGGAAAGTTGAAAAATACGGCGAATCGGCGGCGAGGAATTAGCATATCGACGCCTGCTGCACTTTACAGCGTGGTGCCGTCCGTCACCCGGCCTCGCCCTGCGAATAACAACTCGCTTTTCGAGCGGGAAAAAGAAGGAATAATTTAACGGCCGCCGGCAAGGCGGCGCGGCGGCCTTCCCTGCGATACGTCACGAAGCGAGACTGACCACAGCCAACCCGGGGCCGCCAAGTATGGATGGTAAAAGTTGCCCCCTTAGCGCGCGGCGCGCGGCGAGGCGGGGCAGGGGGGGAACTTTGCAAAGTCCCGACATGACGTATGGACTCGGGGCGAAAAAAAAAATCAAAATCACTCCGCGATATGTTGATCCCCACACTGCATAAAACGCCGCTCCCGCCATATTTGTCAGGACCGAACTTCGACATTTGGTCGGGATTTTTTTTCTGCCCCGCGCTCGGCGAGAAGGAGAAACTTTGCGCTGCAGTGTAGGAGGCAAAGTTTGTTCGTCTCAGCTGGACCCCGGCGGAGGCGGAGAGGCGACCAGCAGCGACAGGCACGCTGTGACGCTGTCGCGAGCTTCAAGCACCATTACTTTTCATTACGGAGTGTAGGGATTTCTATTTCTGGCAGCGGGCCCGCTGCGGCGCTGTGTACCGGGGGAGGGGAGGGGGGAGGGGCGAGGCCAGAAGGGGGTAAACGCGTTCGACAACTTTCCGGTACGACCCTTTTTCCATTCACACCCCCAGAATGAATATATCGGTCAAAGCGTGCGCGCGTGACCGGCCTACGCACGCGCGCGCCGCACGCATTCGCGCCCCGGGGGAGGGACAGAGACACGCGGCACCCCCGGGGGAGGGAGGGAGAGAGAGAGAGAGAGAGAGAGAGAGAGAGAGAGAGAGAGAGAGAGAGAGAGAGAGAGAGAGAGAGAGAGAGAGACACGGCAACAACAAAGCGAACGCGCAGCCATGACCCAGTAAACGGATCGCAACTACTACCAGGACCGCGCGCCAGTTATCGGCTCACTTTTTTCCGGCTCCCTCTCCGCGCCGCTGGCGGGACTCGAACCCGGGCTTAATGATTGTGCAGCGCGCAGTCTGGTCAAATAAGGCGAAGCAAGGCGAAGCTCCCTCCCCCCTCCGCGGACCATTAACTCCCTTAATTCCCTGGCCGCTCGGCGCCTCGCCCTCTATTTACATTTCCGATGAACAGCGGACTGAATTCCAATAAGCCGCGTTTTTACGGTGTGGGGGAGGGGCGGGGCGGGGCGGGGCCGTCCTCACCTCATCGTTCCGTCCTTAAACCGCTTCCCGCAATCCCCATCGCGTCTAATCATGCGCAACAAGGCGAGGGTTGGGGGTTCGATTCCCCGCGCAGCGCCGCGCAGCCGAACCCGAACCGGAAGCGAGACGGAGAGAGATAGAGAGAGGGGGAAAAGCTAAACAATTCCGGCCTCATTTTCCAGTGGCTGCCGCGCGCTGCCGCGTGGGCCATTCCCACGCGCTGGGCGCCTCTAGGCCCTCTAGGCCGCCCGGGCAGCTGACGCCGCCGATCGCGTTGTATCGGATCATATCGCAGTGGCGGGGAGGCGATCGGGGCGCCGGTCTGTCTGTCCGTCTGTCTGTCTGTCTGTCTGTCTGTCTGTCTGTCTGTCTGCCTGTCTGCCTGCCTGTCCGTCTGTCTGTCTGTCTGCCTGTCGAGGCGAGGGCCACCTCCGGGCCGCCAGCAACCCTCGGCCGGTCATCGTCGGCCGAGTCCCCGTCGGCAAGGCCCAGGGACCCGAAGGGACCCGAAGGGACCCGAAGGGACCACCCCACTTGACCCGCTGACCGGCCGGCAGACTGACTCCCAGAGTCGTTGTCGTCGCTCTGTCTCTCTCGCGCACTAGCGGGCCGTCCTTCCCGGCAGTGCGACGACAATAGCGACTCCCGGAATCAGTCTGCGAAGGCGGGGTCGCCGTCAGTCTAAAGTTGGCCCGCGACGATAACAGGAAAAGCCGGGCCGCTCAGCCAGTGCAGTCTAAATAGAGCGGCGCGGCGCCGCGGCCCGCAAAGTGTCATCAGCTGATAAACGCGAGGGGGGGGGGGAGACCGACGGGCCTGTCGGGCAGCTCCGTCTCTCTCGCACGTGTGCGCGACGCCGCGCGAGTGCGAGAGAGACGGAGCCTGCAGCCGGGCCTGCGGGCCGCATAAATACAGAGCCCCCTCCCCCCCGACCCCTCCCCCGGAGCACGACGCCGAAGGCGAGGCGAGGCGGCAACAAATAGGGGACTTTCTACAGCGTCAACAAAGCCCGCCAGATATATTCATTGAGGGAAGGGGAGCAGATGGGGCGGGGCGGGGCGGGGCGGCGGCGGGGCTTAGCGCCTTGTGCTTCATTTGAAGAGCAACCACGGCGGCGAGGAGGCAGCCGGCAACCCTTCCTTCCCGGCAGTCGTCGCCCTTCCCTTCGCAATTACGGTGTAATCGTCTTGCTCCACGATGAAGGCTGGAGGGCTCGCAGACCGTCCTCTTCCTCCTCGTCTTGGAGTGGCGGAGCGGCCGGGGCCGGCGGCACCCGGCGGCACCCGCACCGAGCGGCTTTGACTTGAGGTTAAGCAGGCGGAGGCAGTCAAAAGGCCTGCAAAATCCGACGCTCCAGACACACCGGGCGGCAAAGCCACACACACACACACCACACACACACACACACACACACACACACACACACACACACGAGAGTGCGGTCGAGGCGCCAGGAGCGCGTTTACAAGCGTTTCGACACACATCGTTAAAGTTTCAATCCCCGCTGATTCCCCCCAGTGTGCGTAAGCGCGCGTACGAGGAGAAGCTGGCAGAAAGGCGCCCGGAAGAGAAAGAGAGAGAGAGAGCGAGAGGAAGAGAGAGAGAGAGAAGAGTGATAGAGGGCCTAAACTCCGCGGCATTACGCGCTCGAAACGGTCTCTGATTGGTCGCTTCATCCCCAGGCGAGGCCCTCGCCAGCGCGTCAGCCAATGCAATGAGCAGCCGCTTCTAGGTCGTGGGAAAGCGCCTCGCCTAGGCTCGCCTAGGCTCGACCCAGCCCCAGCCGGGGCCAGGGTAGGGCCGGGGGCGACAGAAGATGAGATAGCTAGACACAACGGGAGGCTGATAAAACAATAACACGCAATCAGCAGCTGGATGGCTGGATCGAGCCGTGTATGCCGCACACCATCAACCACACGCACACACGCGCGCGCGCACACACACACGTCTCCTCCCAACTTGGATCGCAATAAGGCAATCGGATACATCCCTTTTCCGATATCAGAGCTGCGGCGAGGGGGGGGGGGGGGGGCAGACCCGGCCCAGGCCCGGGACGGGGGGCCTTCATCCTTCATAATCTATATCTGAGCACAGCACGGCGGTACCGAGTCGGGCACGGCCGGGCACCCATCGCCAGGGAAGCCCCACCCATGCGAAAAGCCCTGCCGTGTGCATGAGGGAGAGCAGCACCCATTCATTCATTCATTCATTCATTCATTCATTCATTCATTCATTCATTCATTCATTCATTCATTCATTCATTCATTCATTCATTCATTCATTCATTCATTCATTCATTCATCGCCCCTTCAATACTACAAGCGTCCAGTCCAATTCCTTCAGCCATTCATGCACGCATTCATTAATTGATTCGGAACACGGAAGACAACCGTGGCGTTTGCCGGGCCAGCTCGCCGGTCCGAACATTAAAATAATCACGAGGGCGGAGCGCACGGAACACGGAACGAAAACACGACAGTTTGACCGTGCCGTGCACAGTGGGCCAGAGGGCCGGTGGAGGCGGTCAAAATACCGGACACGTTTTGAGCTCCAGAGTCGCTAAGTAGGACTCGAACCGAACTGTGACCCCACCACTGAATTCCTCGTTCGGAGAGCAATCCATTGGTGGGGCCACACGTTCGCTTCGAGTCCTGCTTAGCGACTCTGGAGCTCAAAACGCGTCTAGAATTTCGGCCGCCTCCACCGATCTTCTGGCCCACTGTGCCGAGCCGCGTCCATCCGCCATTGCGAGGAAGCACTCGCGGGGAGCACTGTGCACTGCGCACTACTTGGCCTGAAGAGCCCGCGCAAAGTAATTGGCGAGGGTTGCCAGTGCCCCGGCAGTGCCCCGGTTCCCCTCGGTTGCCCTCCTCGGCGGTACAAACGGCCGCTGATCTTTCCGAGCCCCTTAAGTGGCGAGGCCGGCCCGGGCCAGTGCAAGGACCGGTCCGCCGGCTAGTGACTACATCACGATGCAGGGCCTGGCCGGGCCCGGCGGGGCCCCATCCCCATCCTGGGGGATCCCCGTCCTAGGGCCGTCCTAGGGCCGTCCTAGCGCCGTCCTAGGGCCGCGCCTCCCTTACGCCTTTTACGGCGTACTACAAAGGGCCCGGTAGGGGCGGCAGGGGCTCTCCGTCTCGCTCGCACTCACGGCCCGGCGCGCGGGAGAGCGAGAGAGACGCGGCGACACTAACCGCTGGGCTAGGCCGGCCAGGCGGCGGCGGGGAGCGCCTGCACATCGCGGGGTAGGCAACCCGCCGCGCACGTCGGCGTGGCGGGCCGTCTGGGCAGCCTAGCTGCAGGGGCTCGGAGCCGCTCGGAGCGCATCAGGCCGGAGTGGCGGCGGCGGCCCGGCGGGGCGTGCTGGTGCTGGTGGTGGCGGCGGCCCACAGTGGGCCAGAAGACCGGTGGAGGCGGCCATAACTCGAATCGCGTTTTGAGCTCTAGAGTCACTGAACAGGACTCGAACCGAACGTGTGACCCCACCAATGGATTGCTCTCCGAACGAGGAATCCATTGGTGGGGTCACACGCTCGGTTCGAGTCCGATGTAGCGGCTCTGGAGCTCAAAACGCGTCAAGGGCTTTGACCGCCTCCACCGTTCTTCTGGCCCACTGTGCGGCCAGGCCACGGCGCGGCCGTCAAGCGCCGTGACCCTAATCCGAGCCGATCCCGGAGAGTGGCCCCACGGCCCCACGGCCCCACGGCCCGGACGCGACGACCTGCTCGAACGGCCCGCGACACGACGCGGACGACGCGGAGCAGCGGCGCGGAAAAAAACACGCACACACACAGAGGGCGAGTAGTGTGCCGGAGAAATTTTCCATCGCCGTCGTCCCGCGAGGCGAGGCCCCCCAATGCAAACACGCACGCCACGCCGTCGACGAGGACCTCACACACACACTCACACACACACGCCATCGGCAAAGTCTCATATGTCACGTGTCGATCGGCCCCCGGAACGTATCATTGCTTCTGCGACGCCTACTGGCCGCGCCCCTCCCAAAGCGGTACCGGAAAGGGGAAAGAAAATAGGGAAAAAATACAGGGAGGGACTGATCCACACACACACACACACACACCGCGGCCGTCCGATATGAAGACGCCGAGTAAACAGGCGGGATCGCCGGCGGGGACGCCGACTCTCACGCCCCCCCCCCTCCTCTCACATTTCAACCTCGGCGCGCTCCGACAACCCCCAACCCGAACGGACGGCGAGGCGCTTCAACTATTTCCGCGCCGCCCGTACAGCCCCTACAGCCCGTATGCATACAGCCCGGCGTGCATACGTTTCCCCGTCGAGGCGGGCAGACGGCTAACGGCCCCGCCGCACGCGGCAGCGACGTGCCAGCCAGACCCAGCCAGACCCAGCCAGCCCGCCCGCCGGATCGCTCAACTTGGCTGCTTTATAGACAAGAAAATGGAATGGCCCCTTCAAACTTTTGGCCGCGCTGCTGCCGCGCGAGATGGAATTACAACGGCCGCGGTTGCGTGACACACGTGACATGCGTACGTGTCGGAGAGAGAGAGAGAGAGAGAGAGAGAGAGAGAGAGAGAGAGAGAGAGAGAGAGAGAGAGAGAGAGAGAGAGAGAGAGAGAGAGAGAGAGGAGGGGGGGAAGAGGGTTCGCCCAAGCGTTTCCGAACATCATTCGAGCCACCTGGCGGACGCAGAAAATGACTCGCTCCGTGGCGGCGCTACTCCGCGCGCGAGAGACTTCCAGTGGATGAACAAGGCGTGGGCGGGCGGGGTATTGACAGACGTTCATCGCGGTGCCGGTCCACGCCGCAGAGCCGGGGCAGCCCGGGGCCGCCGAGAGCGCACCCAGGCACTCTGTGCTGCAGGACGGGCTGCTCTGGGGCGGCCGGAGTGCACTGCATGATTTACCATTGGCACCGACTCCCCGCGGAGCACCGGGGCCACAGCCAGGCAGCCAGCCAGGCAGCCAGCCAGGCAGGTGCACGGCACTGCGGGGAAAATTCGAGGGGAAATTACCTCGCGCGGACGCTTGGGCGGCCACGCTCTGGCACTGCATCGCCTCGGAGCGGAGCGCGTCGACGGCGGCCTCGCGGGCACGGCGGGCGCGGCAGGCACGCCGCGACGGCTGCCTTCTCGTTGGCACCTCTCGTTCTTAATAACGCCGCGCTTCCCCCGGACGGCCGTCTGCCGGTTTACGAGCTCCCTTCCTCCACGACGCCGAGACGCCCGAGACGGTTGAGACGGCCAGACGAACGTCCGGAAGGAAGGAAGAAGGCGGCGGCTCATCAAAAAGCAACACAGCAGACCGTAACCTAATCAGGCGCAAGTGGCTGGCGGCCGGCCTGGCTTGGACACGGCAGCGCGAGCCGAGCCGAGCCTGGCCGCCTCGCAGACACACCCCGACGGTCCGACAACCATTAGTCTGGCCATAAATCAGCCCGTTAAGTAATACTCGCTAGGCCGTTAATGGTTTGTTTCCGCTCAAGGCGATGATGTAGCGCACGCCCCCACCCCCGAGGGGCCCCGCCCCGCCCCGCCCCGCCTCACCTGGCCGCCGACAAGGCCGGGCTCATCCGGAGGGAAAGGACTTTGTCTTTTTATTATCCCTTTCGCCAATTTTTTTGCCGACCCCTTCCTCGCGTACCCCGGCCTGCCGCAAACACGAGGAAACTCCACTCCACTCACCTTGTTGTCCTTCTGCCACGAGCAGTTGCCCCGCTTGTTGTAGATCTTGCACACCAGCTTCACGTCCGAGTCCGGGTTCACCTCCGTGTAGCTGGGCGGCTGCTCGAACGTCTGCAGCGCGGCGTGGGCACGACGCACGTCTGCAAACAGAGAGAGAGAGATGCACAGCGTTAGCCTCGGCGGATAAACACTCCGTGGGCAGCGGGCGAGCCATCTATTATCGTGGTTTCCTTTGCAGATCTAGACATCCATACAGCACGGGCTAAAGCCTCCCCCCCCCCCACACACACACACACCACTCACACACAGAGGCGCCGGCGAGCGGCAAATGGGGTGGAAAATGTGATAGCCTTAATATATGGCTTGCAACGCAGCGCCCGTCCCGTCCCCCAGGTGCGCTAAGCGGAGCTGTGCACCCCGACGCGCTGCCTTGTTGCATCCGGTTGCGAATCGCATTGCAATGCGATTGCCGCGTTGATTGCAAAGACATCCCTGCAACCGCCCGTCAGCGCCGTTTGCGCAAGTTTGCGCCGGGGCCAAACGCAATCCCGGCGCGGAGATTGAATCTAAAGAATCTGTCGCCCTGCGGCGGCGATAATACGCCGAGGGGAAGGGAGGGGGAGGGTGGCAGCGGCGAAGTATTTGGCACAGACATGCGGGGGCCCTCCTCGGTGCAGCGGTTCAGAATGGGGCTGGAGCGGCTGGGCTGCGGTCTGCCTAGGCACAGCCAATTTGGCGCGCCTCGTAAAAATGAGGAACAGGTGGAGGCGGGGGGCAGGGGGCGGGGGCGGCGGGGCGGCGGCGGGTTAGTGCCAGGTCGGCCGCAGAGGGGCGCACGCCGCGCACGGTGGAGGTGCGCAACTAGGCCACTCGCCGCAACCGTTCTTTCCACCAAAAATTCTCAAAAACTAAAACAAACAAAAATTGGAACACTGTTTCTGTTTTGGCGCGAGTCGTGTTGCCCTGGCAGCAGAGCGCGCATACTGCTGCGGGGCCACTGTGTCGCTGGCGGCCGGCCAGACACTGGGCCGGGCTGGGCTGGGCCCCGCCGATCACGACCCCCGATTGAAATTATAACTTGATTCCGAGCCCCGCCAGCCTCGCTGGCAGGCTTCCGTATTGCACCGCAGTGCCATCGGGCAAGCCGTTACGCCGCGCCACTGGCAGGCGAGCTGACAAGGACAAACTGACGAGCTGACGAACCATGGACAGACAGACACGCAGACGAACTATGGACAAACAGACGAGCTGACAAACTATGGAACTCAGAGGAGCTGACTAGGACAAACAGACATGCAGACGAGCTGACAAACTACGGACAAACAGACGAGGCGACAAACTATGGACTAACAGACGAGCTGACAAACCATGGGCAAACAGACGAGCAGACGAGCTGACAAACAGACACGCAGACGAGAAGCTTAGCGCATGGGCGTCCCTGCACTGTCGACTCGACGAGCAGAGGCAGCGGAGCAGTCTCGCCGGGATGTCGCGTCATTTTGTTTTCAGAGCCCCGCGCCGCTCCGCTGCTCCGACACGGCCTGGCTGACAGCGGCGCGCAGCTGCGGCGACAAGGTGTTATCTCTCTGTCTGACGCCCTGTGCCTGTCTCTCTGTGTGTGTGTGTGTGTGTGTGTGTGTGTGTTTTTCCGCTCCAGAAAATAGTTTTCGTCCCGTCAGTTATTTGAGGCAAGTGGCGGCGCGCGGCTGCCGACGGTCGTCGCCCAGAGAGCGGTATCCGAACTGAAGCAGCGCCAAAAGTTGTCCCCCTCGGCCCTCGTCGAGTGTCGTTCCATTCACCCGGGATTCGGGTGGTTTGGCGCGGGCGGGCGTCGAGGACCCAGCTTGAACACGCACACACGCGCAGGCACGCACACACACACACACACACGCGGCGCTGAGCTACCCCAGGATAAGTGCGCCGGCCATGCAAATAGAGCGACGTACGAATCTGCATACGCTTTCCGACACGAAGGGAGCGACCGCGGCGGCGGCGTTGGCGGTTCGTTCGGGATAAACTTACGACTAGCGGCAGAGCAGCTGCCGGCTCAGCCCGCCTGCCGCACTCATTCCCAGAGGCGTCGCTCTGTCTCTCTCGCACTCATCGCCGTCCCGTATAGGTGCGAGAGAGACAGAGCGACGACTCTCGGAGTCAGTGCGCAGGAGGGCTGCCGTGTTGCCGCAAGACGCGGGGGAAGCCGGGAAGCCGCCAGGGAGGAGGACTCCCCCGCCAGGCAGGCCAGCCGCACAGTGGGCCAGAAGACCGGTGGAGGCGGACAAAACCCTAAACGCGTTTTGAGCTCCAGAGTCGCTAAATGGTACTCGAACCGAACGTGTGACCCCACCAATGGATTCCTCGTTCGGAGAGCAATCCATTGGTGGGGTCACACGTTCGGTTCGAGTCCCATTTAGCGACTCTGGAGCTCAAAACGCGTCTCGAGTTTTGTCCGCCTCCACCGGTCTTCTGGCCCACTGTGAGCCGCCAGCCTACAGCGGCAGGCATGGCGAGGCAGAGCCACCAACTTTCATCCCCAGTAAAGACTAAAGACCGACCGCGGCGACATGACACGCTGCGGACACGCGGCGGCCCCAGTGAATAGGGATTTTGCGGCGGGGCGGGGCTGGCGGGGCTGGCGGCAGTGGGGCCGGCCCGACCAGGCTGGCGGCTCGCCTCAAGACGAGGGGGTTGGTTGGTGAGGTTGGTAACGCGGATTGAATTAATATTCCCGCGCAAAGTCCCGCAGCACTGTCGTCGGGATGGCCAACTTTGCGGCGCGGAGGGCCCAGCCCGGCTGCTGACGGCCTGACGGCCAGGACGACGTCGACCACCACCACGACGAACACCGGACGCGCCGACAACTTACGACTCGAAATATTATTTTTTCTAGTCATTTTATTTTTGGCGGCAAAAGCGGAGTCGAGGCGGGCGAATCAACGCCCCGGGGGAAGAGTGGGGAGGAAGGCGTTTTTTTTCTGTAAAAAAGCAGGGCGGCGTATTGCGGCGTATTGCGGGGGCAATTACACAACCGCCCCGGAAACAATTACAAGTCTTGCCGCCGAAATTAGAAACGGCGGGAAAACGCATTACGTCCGCCACTTGCAAATCGGGCATCCGGCGCGGCGGCGCGGCGTCTCGGTGAGCACGCAAACAAACACACGTACACATACACGCACAACGACAAACACACACACACACACACACACACACGCACGACGGCAAACACACGCGCGCGCACCAGTCCGGAGCGGTCCGGAGCGCCTGCGGTGGAGGCAATAGGCCGTACCGCAAGACAGCGCCGCCGGCCGGGCGGCCTACGCCCAAGGCTGACGACGTGGCGACGACACCGGATAGCGGATCCGTTTTCAAAAACCGACTCAATTTTTTCCCCTGTCATCGGGCTGGTGAAATTAATGGGAAGCTGGGTGCGGTGACGGCGTAAGTCATCCCGAAAAAAAAATTGGGAAAAAGAAGTCAGACGGACGGGAGCGCCACACACGCGCGGACGGGAAAAACGACGCCGAGAGTCGTTCGTTCGCTTAGGGAAACGAGAAGTGGGAAAAAGTGGATGAAAAACACGTAACTTTCCACGCGTGGGACTTTCGGGTGGGCGAACGGTGGCGGCTTCGCGCGGCGAGCGGGCCGCGGAACCGCGGGGTGACGCATGAGAGGAGACCAAATGGGAGAGCAGGCGAGGGAAGTTCTGGCACGGCACGGCAGTCCACCGATCAAAGCCCTTTACCGATCCACCTCTGTATGGCGGCCCCATCCGGCGTGATAGTGGTCGCTTCTCATTCAAACTACCCGGCTCTGGCCTCGGACGCCAAAGTTGGCGATAGTTGGGGCGAAATCCGGTTGGCCACTCCCCGGCCGGCCGGCCACGCGCAGTCCAACACACCGATTCTCTGTCTCTCTCGCACCGCTAGGGCCCATCCCGTGAGTGCGACGGAGACAGAGCGAGAGCGCATAAACGCAGCGCCAGCACCCCTCACAGACAGCACGCTGATGCCGATCAGGGTGTCTCTCTCGCACTCGCGGCGCGTCCCGGGCGGGAGCGAGAGAGGCAGAGCGACGAAAGCACTGTCCGCCCTGCGGCGTGAATGAGTGAGTGAATGCGGAAAATGAAAATGCAGGCGAAGGGTGGGGAAGGAAGTCGGCGGGCGGGCCCGGCAGGCCGACGGGCAGGCCGGCTATCTCCTAGTCCGATCAAGGGCTGTTGCCCGGGTTTTGTGGCCACGTAAAGCGGTAGTGGCGGCGGGGCGGGGCGGGGCGCTCCTCCCTCGAGTGTAACCCGGCTGTAACCAACGTGCCGTGACCAGCACACTGAACGAAAGTGCAGCCACCCCGCCGCGCCGTGCCGTACCCTACAGTGCCGTGCCAGGGGCGGGGAGAAGCCTCTCCAATCGACTTACGTTGCACTTCTCGTACTAATGACTCGGGATGATGCGGCCGCAGCGGGTCAGCCTGGACCAGCGTCCTGTCTCTCTCCCACTCGTGGGGCGCCCCGTGAGAGAGCGAGAGAGAGAGAGAGAGAGAGAGAGAGAGAGAGAGAGAGAGAGAGAGAGAGAGAGAGAGAGAGAGAGAGAGAGAGAGAGAGAGAGGAGAGAGAGAGAGAGAGAGAGAGAGAGACGCTGTTGGGATCAGCCCTTCCACTTCAAACAGCTCGAAATGCGATGATGCTGTCCGAGCGACCGCCGCGACCAAACGCCGGGCGAGGCGGGCGAGGGCCCGGGCCCGGACCTCCGGATGAGCTAGCCCCGGACGGGCGGGGCCTCCCTCGGGGTCACGCGCACCTCCGGACGCCCGGACCTCCGGACCCTCAACCCTCCTCGGCACTGCCCCCGCGTCCCACGGGCACCCGCAGCAGCACGCGCTCGCTCGTCCGCACCTCCTCGGGGAACCTCGGGAACCTCGCGAACCTCCTCGGAGCGCGGCCCGGCCCGGCCCACTGTTGCCGGCTTCAGCAAATCATTCAGCTCACTGGAGTCTCATCACCGTCATCCCCAGCGCGCCCCGCCGCCCCGCAGTCGAGGCGACCATCCAGGCAGGCAGCCCGCCCCCGCGGGGGACAGAAAAACAAACACAATCCGAGTGGGAAATCGGCCAAGATTGCTTTTAAACGCGTTCATCGCGCGGGGCGTGT